CTGGAGTTTAGTGTGCCATCTCTCACCATCTTGGTTAAGTGATGAAGAGACATCAAAATATGCTTGATTGTAGCACCTCTGTGAGCCTTAAGTACTTCTTGGGGCATGGGCCTGGAAGGACTGGCAGAATGCCTTATAAACTGCTCAGATGCCTGTACTGCACCAGCCTAGCAGCAGGGTCCCTCACCACTACCTTCTCTGTACACCATCTCCAGCTTCCTTGGTCTAGTCACTTGCCTCCATTTCAGCATGATTAATCCACAGCCTGCCCATGTTTTTGTGAAGGAGGTTGATGAATGGTCCTTCAAAGATATTAGGATCGATATATAGATGTGTGAAAACATTATCTTAGGGTCACTACATAAATGTGTGATTACATTATCTTAGGTTCACTACCTAAATGTGTAAATACATTATCTTAGGGCCACTACATAGATGTGTGCATACATTATGTTTAGGAAGACTTTGTTGATATGATTAAGATAGAAACTTGGGGCCCAATGTTATCACAATGGTCTTTGTAAGTGGTAGGCATGAGGAACTGTCAGAAAAAGAGGATTAGTCACAGGACCACAGTTCAAATAGATGCTGCCTGAAACTGGACAGGAAGGTCAGAAACTACGTGTGGTGGTTTGAATGAGAATGGCTCCTATAGGCTCATAGATTTGAATGCTTAGGCCCCAGCCGCTGCAAGTGTTTGGGAAGGATTAGGAGGTGTCACTTTGTTGGGGGAGATGTGTCACTAGGGGTGGGCTCTGAGGTTTCAGACTCCACACCATTCCCAGTCTCTTGCTCTCTACTTCCTGCTTGTAGATCAGATGTAAGCTCCCAGCTGCTGCCATGCTCCCCGTCATGATAGTCATGGACTCTAATCCTCTGAAACTGTAAGCCAGCCCCCAATTAAATGCTCCCTTTTATAAGTTGCCTTGGACATGGTATCTCTTCATAGCAACAGAAAAGTGACTAAGGCACAGAGAAAGGTGGGAAACTTACAGAAACTAAAAAAAGGGAAGCAAACATTCTTCTCTGAAGCCTCCAGGAGAAAGGAAATCTATAGACAAATTAGTTTGCTTATTTCTAATTTCCTGAGCTGTAAGATAACAGTTTGTGTTGGTTATAGCCAATGTATTTGTGGTAATTTATTATGGGAGCAATAAGAATAATGCAATTATATATTAAAGCACTCTCAAGATTATAATGTCATATTGGGTATTATTCTCAGTGGAACATCATGATACTTTTAAGACTTTTCCTTAAAATGTGCTTTAAAATTAGTTTTTCAAAAGCACATTTTCAAAGTTTTTCTTACAGATAAATTTTGTGCTATATCTGTAATTTTCATTAATAAATTTATTTATTCAGCTTGTATTAATTAAGCAGTTAAAGGAATGTATTGTTGAAGACAGACATATTTAGGATATAGAGTTTGATCATAAGGAACTCATACGTCAGCCTGAGGCATTAAGATAGTGTATAAATAACTTCGGCCCAAGGTACTACGCTGTATTATAGTCATACAACCCTGTTTTCTCACAATTCCAGGGGCTAACACTTGAGATCCAGGGGCTGCTAGAGTTGTTTCCTTCCGAGACCTGGAGGTGACATTTTCCCTTGCGTGGTGATGTGGTGTTCAGTTTGTGCTGCATCTCATTCTCCTCTTACTAGTCATATTGGATCAGAGGCCATTCTGCTGAATTTTAAGTTAATTGTCTCTCTAATGACTTTATCTCCATATGAGACACATTTTGAGACCCTGGGAATTTAGATTTCAGCTATATGAATGGCAGGATGGGAGCTGGCAGAGTTCAGCTCACCATACAGTCAAGCTGCTCTCTTAAGAAATCCAGAGCAGAGTGAGATAGTCCAGGTAATTGTTAGCAACAGGATTTACTTAAAGATCAAGTGATGGTCTGCTGGTGGCATGGCTCAGTGGGTGGGGACGCTTGCCACCAAGTCTGATGGCCTGGGTTTAATCCTTTGCACCCCACTTGGTAGAGGAAATAACTGACTTCAGCAAGTTGTTTTCTTTGCTTCGTGTGTGTGTGTGTGTGTGTGTGTGTGTGTGTGTGTGTGTGCTTGTAAAAAAAATAACCAAGTGATGAACAACAATCTTGTTGCAGGAGGTTCCTCACATCATATTGCTAACCTGGAGGAACAATACTGTTTAGAAGATGTGGAAATAGTAAATACAACAAAGGCTCCATTTTTTTTAACAATGTTTTATTGATTCTTTGGGAATTTCACATCATGCACCCCAATTCCACTCACCTCCCAGTCCTCCCTTATTCTCCCTTTACCCCTGTAGTGTACTCTTCCAAAACAAAATTTAAAAAACAAACAAACAAAAAAGTAAAAATATTAATTAAAAAAATCCAACAACAACAACAACAACAAAATAACAAAATGACAACAAAAAAACCCACCTCGCTCCTCTGCTTTTTCCACCTTTCCATTACCTCTTCACTCGTCTTAATGGCATTGTGAGCTGCAGTGCGTCATGCAATAGACTCTTCTGTCCAAGCAGCTTTACTTTTGAATGTTCATTGTGTAATGAGTTGTTGGTCTGGTTCAAGGCCTCTGGTTTCTGTTTCATCATCAACACTGGACCCTCATTGAAACTCCTTTTGGATGTCCTGCTGTTGCCCCAAGTCATGGAGATCCTGTGGCTATGGTTCCGTAGGACCTGTCCCTTCACAAACTCTAGCAGGTCACAGGTGTTGGGGTGGGCCAGTCCAAAGCCCTGGATGTGTGCCTGGGTGGTAGAAAGGCTCCATTTTGGCCCTTTATAAGCTGAGAGAGCAAAGCCTTTGGTAGGATTCCTCCATGCCATTCCCAGGCTGCCAAGGAATCCAGGAGCGAATGTATGAGCCTTCTGATGAATCTGACCTTTAGGAGTAACCAAATTTACTGCAATGAACTTTAGTGTGTTTCCAAGAGCTGCCTCATCCAGGTTTATAGATGTATCTTGACTACCACAATATATATATATATATATATATATATATATATATATATATATATAAATGTTTATTGTTCCCTTAACAGAATGTATTCCAATAGAAAGAGCATGATCTATATTTAACATGTTAGGTAAGCAAAATATGCTAAATTCCTTAGGGTCCTAATTATTCCAAAGGGAAGTTCTAACCAACAGAGTTGAGCTTTGATCCTGTTTGAAAAGCAGAGAATATTCACACAAATCCCTTCATTTCCCTATCAATGGCAAGAAAAACACTCACCTTGCTGGGAACTCATTAGAGCTGGTAATTTTGTTAGCTTAATTTGTCACACCATTGTTGAAGTGCTGTAGATATGCACAGATATCTCCAAGAGGCTGAGATCCCCAATATGGAAAGATAAAGCATACATATAAGATGAATCACCCATTATGTGTGAGATAACATCTCAGAAACCTGATAATGGATTTGAGCTCCTTAGAATTTTTAGGCACAGGAAAAATAATAAAAAGGAGATTCTACCTTTAGGTTATTCCTTTGTTTGCATAAGTGTCTGCTAATCATGTGACATACTGTAGCTGGAGAGTTTTCTCTCTGGTCCTGCCAAACCCAGGCAGTCTGACAGCCCACTTATAAAATAAACAAACAGA